AAAATGTTAAAATGCATTAAAAGCTCTCCTTGGACACAGTTTGCCTCCAAGGAATTCCAGAACATGAGGGAACAATCTGTTCCCACCTCGGCCAAGTCCACTGAGCCACCTTTGCTTTGCCAGCCTGGGTTTCTCCCTCTGCCCCTCCATTTTGTGGCCAAGTCCCACAGCAAAAGTGCAGGAGGGAAATACCAGCACTTTCTATCTTTCTCTGGAGCCCTTGGAGTGGGATATGCAGGAGCAAAGCACTTCCTGGGTTTTATTCCAGGCATTACACACCAAATTTCCTCTTACTGCAATTAAGTAACCCTGTGCAATTAAACCACAGAGTAAAAGGAATTAAACATGGCCATGAGGACCAAGTCTGATTAAAGTCTAATAAACAGTGGCTTCAGGTCTGGTATTTTTTTTCCAGAAAGGGAAGAAAGGCTCATTTTTAGCTAATTCTCACAACTGAGAGGAGGAGCCTGTTGACACTCACAGTTCTCCGGTGCTCCGAGGGTCAGGAGCAGCCCGTTCCTGGGCTGGAGCAGCACTGAAGGCAGGGTGCAGCACACTCTTCTGGAGCTCCCCAAGCCCTGCCCGAGCTCCAGCCGGGTCCTTGTCCTGTGGTGTTTCCCACGGGGAGCTTGGGATGTGGTTTCCGAGCGGCCTCACCGGCCGCAGGGCGGGAGCGGTGCCTGGCGGTGCCTGGAATTGGGGCTGCTCTGGCCCCAGAGCTGGGCCCTTTGGCACGTCCAGCCCTGCAGCAGGGCCCATCCAGCTCCCTGGGATGTGACATGTGCTGGGCCTCGCAGGCGGGGGCACCTTCAGGGATGAGAAGTGTTCTGTGACACCCAGATTCCCTCCACATGCAGCCATTCCCATTTTCTGTACCAGCTCCACGTGGCCAGAATGTAAAAGAACCTTTAGGTTCCCCCCCAAATACAGCCATTCCCATTTTTCCTGTTAGTTCCACATGCCCAGCACCCAAGAGAACTTCTAGCTGCATCTCAAACTAAACTGTGGAGAAGCAAAGCCACAGCTCAGGGTGAAACCTTTAAAATCTGGGTGTTGCAAGTTGTGCCAGGCTTCCATGCTGGTATTGCAGCCTCCAGGCTGGAGAAAGATCCTATCCCACAGTGCTCTCTTAGAAAAACATATCAAACATATTTTTACTTTTTTTTCCCTCCCTCTCCTCTTTCATTTTTGCAATAAGCTCTGAATAAAGCCCAGAGCCAGAGCCTGGTGTCTGCCTGGATCAGTGATGTGCACTGGATGAGCTGAGCCCATCCCAGTTTGAAGGATGCATTCCCAGGAAGAATTCAGCTCATATTTGGGCTCTGGAAGAAGCCTGCAGGCTCCTCCTGGAGCTGGTGGAAGCTGTGGCTCAGCTTTGTGACACCCTGAGGGGGGTTTATCCCATCCAGGAAGATTGGGCAGCTCAAGGTGACACCTTGCTCTGCATGGAGCAGCAGATCCCAGCTGATGGGGCTCTGGTGGGGCTTCCCACCAGGGAAAAACCAACCCTGGCTCCTGCAGCATGGCTGGATTGTGTGGGCAGAGCCTTCCTGTCCATCCCAGAGCCACTCACCACGCTCTGGCCTGGCTCAGCCGCTGGCTCCAGCCTCGTTTCCTCCAGGCTCCTGGAGAGCTGGGTGAGCTGGTCCAGCTTCTGCTGCAGCGCCTGGAGCTCCAGGACTGCCGACTCCTTCTTCCTCATGGAGTCCTTCTGCTCCTCCTCTAGGGATCAAACAGTGACACCAAATGAATATGTGTGCTCTGGATGAGCCCAAACAATGAGATTAAATGAAAATATGAGGTGCTGGTGGCTCACTGTGCCTCCTCAGGAGAGACACCACAAATGTGGCACTGACAGGAGAAGCCCAAGCCATGAGCATGGCCAGGAAGGAGCCATTTGGAGAGCTGGGAAAAGGAGGATACCCAGTGCCTGCTGCCTCCTGAGGAGCTCATATTTCCTGAAGTATCTCTTGGCCCTGAGCTCCTCAAAGGAGAGCTCGGAGCCCGGGCACAGGAGCAGGTTCTTGTCGTACATGGGGACCTGCTCCCAGCCGGCGGCGCCCGACGGCGGCTTCGGAGCAACCTCGGACTTGGAGATGTAGGTGATGTAGTTCCTGGCAGGGAGAGGGAGAAAAGGGCCAGGATTGAGGGGTTTATCCCAGCTGAGAGCTTGTTTCCTCACTGTGGGGGCTCTGAAAGGGACACCCAGCCACTTACACTTCTTTCCCAGCAGCACAGGGTTGAGAACCAGCAGCGTCCAGACCCTAAAGTAGGGAAATAAAACACAAAAAAATAAAATAAAACTAAGTTCAAGCAGCAAAGCTGGCACAGAATCCACTGTTTATATTATTCCTGTGATTCTCGGAATGTGTCAGGCCACTTGGTGTGTCCCAGTGCTTCCCAGATGAGACATTCCTATGGAGATGTTTTCCTGCTGCAAGCATCACAGCAGCAGTATCCTCTCCACATCAGTTTTGAGATGCACCAGACACAGTTTGCCCCGTTCAGCCAAGCTCACCAACCCAAACTCTGCATGAAACATCTCCCCCAAATAATTCATAACAATTTACCTGAGTTTTGCAGGGATTAGGACTTGAGACACCTTTTGGAGGAACCATTTGATTTGCAGCATGGGAAGGCTGAAGTGGTTTTAGAACAGCAGCATCTGGCACAGGAAATATAATGTAAGAATTTTCTAGTCATTAATGAGTAAAAATGTTTGATCCTTTGTGAATTTAGATTAACTTGAAGCACTAGAAAATTAATAACTTGTTTTGAATACATTGCCCTTAAGAATTTTTCACATAAAGAGGAAAAATAAAGCAATTTCTATGGGGAATTTGTTTTTTTTCACTCACTGAGGTAAAAAATTCATTTAGAGGAGCTACAGATCAAACAGGACTCTTCATCCTCACCTTGCAAAGGAGGATTCCGAGGATCATAACTCTGCAGGGAGCTAAAGTGAAAAAAAACCTCAGTTATTGCCATGAAATCACCTGTCCCTCACCCTTCCTACCTCCCAGCAAGCTTAGACTTCCTTGTACAATCACGCCATGAAATGCAACACTGAAAAGCAGGATTTTTACTGTATATGGACATTTCCATAGCTACAAAACTAAAAAAGCCTTCAAGAGGCAGCAGGAGAACAGAATTGGGTATTTATTTTATGTTTTATATTACATTTTACTTTTGATTTTTTGCATTTAGCTTCCCAGAATTACACGCTTAAGGATCTGCTTCACTCTGGGATGTATTTTTTTTAATATACATCTCAGAACACCCAATGAATATTCAACAGCAAAGAAACGTTATTAGGTTTAAACCTCCCTTTAGCAAAAATAAGAACACTGAAAAAAAATTTAAAAAAATAAAAATATGGTTAATTATGAGTAATTATGAGCACTGAGTAAATGAGCAGAAGAGTTACCAGAGGAGCTGCTGCAGGTTCTCGCGGGGCTGTGCCTGGTTCAGGAGCCCTTTTTGGAGCACGGCTGCTGCTCCCTGCACGTTTCCCTCCTTGAGCAGCAGCCGAGCCCAGGCCAGGTAGAAATCCGAGCTCCTGGCCCCGATGCCCTGCCCGTGCAGGTACTCAAAGTACTGGCCCGGGGAGGAGATGAACTCTGCCTGCACAGCAACAATTTCTGAGTCACCATAACGGGAAAGTGTCACAGAAGTGAAGGCAAACCTCTCCAAAACCTCTCCAAATCCCCCTGCCTCCTCCCAAAGCTCTCCGCAGTGCCAGAACCGCGGGGTGGGTGAATCGGGATAATTTAACTTAATTTAAATCCCGGAGAAGCGCAGCCGTACCCACCAGCTTGAGGCAGTATCTGACGAACCGCGGGTCCTGCTGGTACCGCCGGTCGCTCACGAACAGCTCCACCAGCCGCTCCAGG